GCGCCCACCCCCCCCCCCCACCCCACACACACACCAAGCAAACCCTAGCTCAGGAGGACTCGGAAGTGCCTTTCATTTTTCACTCTTCGTCGGCCCTTGGCGTCCTTCTTAACAAGTCCTTGAGCCTCCTTTGCGCCACCTATTCGAAGTGAAATACGTGAAAGTAGTGAAAAACTTAATTACGGTGATTTGACATTGAAAAGAAGAAAAAACCATTATGATTTTTTAGTTAGGCGAGGAAATTAAATATACAAATAAAAATCCTGTTAGACGAAAATAAATTAGTATAAATTTTACAAAAAGAAAAAAAAAGCCGAAAACGAAAATTATGGTAGAGATGGCAGAAGAATGATAGGTCCGTTAGGGTAAAGATTGCTTCATAAATGATATGAATCTTTACCCCATCCTAGCTTTTGGAACTCCTTTCCCATATAAGCCAAACAAGGGCGTACGTAAGTAGCTTTGAATATGAATATTAAAACTTACCATTAAAAGAAAGTGGTACTGTATTATCTGTATCCACACACTTGGCTTCTGTGGAGAAAATTTCTTAGAAATCCCGTTCTCTCTTTGATTAACTTGTAAATTGTTTCAGAATATTAAGGAATCAACAAGTCACTAATATGTCCTAATTGCTTCTAGTGCTACTTTGTATAAGTAGAGATGCTGTTTCTGGAAGACACTCCGCTCAGATAAACACTGTAAACTTCATATATATTTCGAATTGTCGTTAAATATCTGGTGTAATTAAATATCTTTTTTCTATGTTATTAATTACTCCGTATGTTAGATTATTCCTGGCCGATGTTCACCGGAAATATTTAAGTTCAGGCAACTAAATTATCAATAATTAATGCATTGCGCTAGTTTATTGTTGCTAAAAGCATTTTACATTTACTGAAAAATTGATGTCTAATCGCCGATATTAATGGTATCAATTTTGAGAATTTTACTTAAGACTGGTGAAGGTTTATGTGCCTCTCCGGAGTATTTATAGGAGGATATAGTGACAAAAAATTACTACTTACTAAACCTAAGTGTGATTCATGCACGAAAATGCAACATTACAAGTAAAAACTGTTTTGACAGCAGTTAGTGAAATTGGTGAAGATAATTGGAGATCAAAGTTCAGTAGACACAAATGATATCCGCAATTTCTTCTCATCTACTTAAGTCTTGGTGAATAATATTATTTGATATCTGTACTGGTGGGATATTTTATGAAATGGTCGAGGTTAGTGGCGGAGCGACTTTATGCTAAGGGGTGTCAATTGATACCTTTTTGTTGGCAAATCACACTGTTTAACTAGGTCAAAATTTTATTTTTATGTATATGTACTATATGTTGACTCCCCTTATTTTTTCGTATGTTTACTTTTTTATATTGTAATACCATTTTGTAAAATTTCTGAGTCCCCCACCGATCGAGATGCACGCTAACTTACTAGCGCACTACAATTTTAAAGAAATATTAGTTTCAGCCAGCTTTATTACATAAGTTTCATATAGTTCTAATGTCATAAACTGCTGTGTAAGGAGTATAAACCTTGCCATGTTTTCATGTCCAAGACTCTGTGCCCTGTTTTGTGGTCCTATAAAAAGTTATGGATCATCATACGTTGGGAATGAAGTGGTACAGTTTCAGTCAAGTTCCAATTGTACAAAAATGACCAGAACGGAAACTCTTGATTGTCTACTCCTTCTTTTTCGTTTTTTCTCTGCATCAGTAAATTTCATGCATCCTTTATACTTCTGGAAATTCGTTGATAAAGTAGCCAAAAAAAGAGTGACTTTTTTGAAAATCCTAGCTTTAATTAGGACTTGAAAATGACAGACGAAAATAAGTGGATCTTGGGTATGATGATGAAAATGATGATAGGAATGTGTATATGATTGTCACCAAGTACTTGTGGAGTTCCTATCACACTTGTCAATATCGTACTTTAGTACCTTCGATCTTAAAAGATATATGCTACAATATTCGAATATATTTGCTTAATAATTGCCACTTACAAAATAATTATAGATATATTTTTGTGATAAATATTAAATAGTAACTAACTTGGTATAATAAATTTTGGATGAAGAGGTACATATATGATACAACTACGTACAAGTGAAGAAATTATACATGTATTTATGTGATAAATATTAATTGAGAATTCCATAAAAATATTAGCCCTGAAGCTATTTTGGGTTTTTTCATCCAACTAGGTTTGTTGATCAAAGCCAAAACTAATTTTGACTTCACGTACTGTAAAAACTAAGAATTATTATCGGCTAATATAAATAGTAAGGGGCGTGGCAGAGCTAGCATGCATGGGAAGTATGGTTCGACAGCACCTAGTAAAATTTTGATAAATTTTGTGTAGTTGTTGAGAAATTCATTAAATATGTATATAAAATAAACTTCAGCATTCATAATTTTATATTTAAACTCCATAAACGTTAAATTCTGAATCCACTCGTATTAATAATGCATGATCAAAGTACTATCATTTTCTCAATGACGCAGGAAATTATTATCATTATCTTTATCAATATGTGATATAACTAGTACGAGGTGGAAAGATTAAAGTGGTCAATGGGAATGTACACTCTTGTCATTTCCAACAACTCAATGCCAAACAATTAAAAGACTTCAATGATATTCTCAATTTGGATCATACTCAATCAAAAGTGAGTAATGGTCCCATTTTACTTGATATATCAAATGGAATTGGACCCATCAAGAGATTACATCCACGAATCTCCTTTTATATTTCCCCAAAAATCAAGCCCATTTCCTCCAATCATCCAAATATATATTAAATTGCTTGCCATAGTTTCAAGAACAAATATTATAACAATATTGAGATAATTTCATAAACCTCTCCTCAACTTTCGCTGTGTAATACTATTTTTTTGTGTACGATATTGTACCTACCTTCCTTATTAAATTACTTAATCATGGGTAAATTAGCATGACTTAGTGTAAACATCATATCAGGGTAAATCTTTACCTATATATTAGTCCCTCTATCCCCCTATTATTTAACACATTTTTCTTTTCATATTGTCCAAAACAATTATTAATATTATTTTATTTTAAAAATTATTTAATCATATTATCCTCAATTTATCCTAAATGACATGGCCTGTAGGATCAATCGATATACAAAAGTTCACCTTTTTATGGAAAGAGAGGATATGGAGAACATGTGGAACCCTCAACACCTCTTATTTAATTGTTGATAGTAAGGGTCATTTTGATAATTAAAATTTAACTAGGTACACCGTTTAAGAATATTTTAAAAAAAAAACCTTTAAAACTTGTGATATAAAACAAGTCATATAAAGTTATGCGACTATAAATCATCATATTAAGGGTATAATTTGAAAAGTTTAAGAATATCATTTTTTTTTAGGACAGACTAAAAAAAAGAATCTCACATAAATTGGGACACAGAGAGTAACAAAATTTCCTTATTTATTTCTTACATTATGTGTTCGATCAAATATCACCACATAAAATAGAGGTGGGGAGTAGTATTTAAAACCTTGCACAGAAACTAGTACCCTTACATTTGTTCTGTTGCATTACCTATATCCTATCATATAAAGTACATTAAGATCTACCAAATTTCATGGGTGATCATTCTGCTGCAGATCATTTTCAGGCTTTGAATTCTTCTTCTTCTTCTTCTTTGATGAACTCAAATAATATGGAACTATTAAATAGCATAAGCCTTGAAACTGAGAATTTCAGCTCAAATATTAACCAACATGGGTTTTTGGCTTTATCAAATGAAGACTTTTCGAATCATCATCAGCTCCCAAACATGGCTTTTCATACTGATATGAATATCTCAAATTCCATTTCTGCTCAGAATATTTATGATCCAGCTGCTGCTGCTGCTGCTGCTCAGTTTTTTACCTTGGGAGGTCCAAGTAATTATGGCTGCAGTAGCAATATGAATTCAATTCCTGAATCAGAGTCCATACTGAATAATCATATTCCAACTCCTCCACCTCTACTGTCTGGAACTGCCAAGGTCAGTATAAATACTTAGGTGCTTCTTCTTTTCTCGGGTTATTTACGTAAATAGCCGACTGGATTCACTGTTTACTTAATTTTAGTTATATATAGATTATATATGAGTTATACATATATTAAACATTCTCTGGTTATATTTTCTTAGAATTTACACAAATAGCAGCCGGCTGTATTCACTGTATACTTTTCTTAACTGGTATACATATATAGATTATACACGGTTATACATATATTATATGTGATTATACATATATTATACATTTGTTGGTTATATTTTGTTTAAACAGTTGGGTGGGCGTCTATTTAGGTGAATTATTCTTCTTCTTCTTGTCTTTTATTGTTTGTGTGTTATTAGAAAGTTTTGCTTTATTTTTTGATTTGATAAGTGTGGCATATTTCTTGGTGATATATAGAACTGTGAAGGGAGAAAGAGAAAAAGAAACAATCAGAAAGAAGCTGAGAAGCCAAGAGAAGTTGTTCATGTTAGAGCAAAGAGAGGCCAAGCTACTGATAGTCATAGTTTGGCAGAAAGAGTAAGTCTTCTTTAAATTCAATATATTGTGTAAAAATATTTCAATTTATTTCATATATTTATCACTAGAAAATTTTATGAAATAAAAAAGACTTGTCTTGATTAATTTCATGTTTGTGATCACCTAGCTTCGAAGGGAGAAAATAAATGAAAAACTTAGATGCTTACAAGAACTGGTTCCTGGATGTTACAAGGTTAGTAATTCCAATATATATATATATATATATATATATATATATATATATACCTTATAATTGCATTTAAAACCTATCACAATCCTTCTTGATCAACTATTGCAAATATATATTTCTATTGCAGAAAAATTAGTTAGTATTATGGTTTCCTTAAATTATCATTCTTGTATAGTAGTAAATAATCAAATTAAAATATTTCTTGCAGACTATGGGAATGGCAGTGATGTTGGATGTAATAATCAACTATGTCCGTTCATTGCAAAATCAAATTGATGTAAGATAATATACTTACTATGATCTTATTTCAAATTGCTACACTAGGTCTAGAATAATAATAGTTAATGGCCTACTTATCTCTAATATTCTTTTGCTTTTCATTGAATTTTCTGTTTTAAGTTTCTTTCAATGAAACTATCAGCAGCAAGTTTATTTTATGACTTCAACTCATCAGAGATGGATGATATCGACTCAATGCAGGTACTGTTTTTCGTTTCCTTCACTGTATAAAATCATAATGGGTTATTTGATTCTGTGATGATCTTTTTTATATGTAGAATTATAGAAAATTAATGCACCCCTGATCCCTCTCTATGAAATGAGATAAAAGTTTATCAAGAAAAGTATAATAGTCTCATTAGTAGTACTTGATATGCAAGCATATGTGGGGTGGTAAACCGATGGGTCGAGTCTGATATGAGCATGTCGATGGGTAATGCAAAAACAGATAAATTATCTAACCTGATCCATATTTAATACAGAGAGAAAATGGATTAACCGGCGGATAATATAGGTATCCATATTATCCATAATTTCTTGAATATGATCAATTTTAGGAGAATTTATAGTATTCCAAACTTGAGGAACTCCAAATTTAAGTCTTTGTAAATGTAAAAATTAAACCTATTGGTTATCCATTTGCTCTTGTAGATAATATGATTATCCATATTGGACTCATTTTTAAAAAGTTCATTGTCCAACCTATTTTTTACGGGATAATATGTATTAATAACTTTTTTTAAATTCATTTTGCCACCACTAATAAGTATATCCAGTTTTCATTTGTTGTATATTAGAAGGTCAAACAAAATTGTAAGAGGTTGGAATTACCTTGAAATTTAGTGGGCGTTTGGACATAAGAATTATAAAATTCCGAAAAAAGTGAATTTGTGAAAATGGTATTTGAAAATTAGAGTTGTGTTTGGACATGAATACAATTTTGGGTTGTTTTTGAATTTTTGAGAACGATATGAAGTAAATTTTGCAAAGTTTTTTTTTTTTTAATTTTTCAAATTTTCGAAAAATTTCGATATTCATCTTCAAATGAAACTTGCAAATTTATGGCAAAACACTAACTTAGGAAAAAAAGTGAAAAAAATTCCAAGAAAATCTTATGGCCAAACGGCCCTTAAGCTGCTTTATCTAATGCATATACTATAGAATACACACACTAATATATTTTAGAATCTTTTGACATTTTCCATCAAATTGATGGCTGTGTTGACATTAATTAGAAATGAAATTTGTACGTAGGGAACAAACGGGTATGCAGCTCAAGGAATGGGGAAGATTGTTGGTGAAGGGTATGGAGGATTTCCTCCTCAGTTTCAAACATCTTGGCCTCTTTGACCTACTTATGATCACCATGCTTTAAAATCTGCCTAAGAAAATTAATATACCCAATAATATGTAGTAGCACATAATTAACTGTATTTTGAACTTCCTTACTGGTAAACCCTTTGTTTCCATTTCAACAATCTTTTCTTCTTTTTTACTTTCTGTATTCTAAGTAATTATTCCAAAAAATGATAGTGTTATGAAGAAAATCCATTTACGCTGATAAAATTAGAGGATGAGCTTTGAGTATACTTTACCTTATGTATAACATATCTATAATCCATATATCATATCTGTTTAATTATCTATAATCAGTATATAATCTATGTTTACCGACTAGGAATAAATAAACACTAAAGCTGACCGGCTATTTATGTAAAAATATCTTCTATGTTTTTGCCTTTGGATATTTGTCTAAACTATCATTTATCACTTTTTAAACGTCTTTTTTAATCAATACTTCACTAATTGGACCAGTTAGGATAAAGTTAGAAAAAAGTTGCTTTATATGGTTCTAATGAACCAACTAAATACTTCCAGATTTTTTGAAGCATCTAATATTCCAGATTTTATGAAGCATCTAATATTTTGAAACAAATTCATATTGCTAGGAGGACTAATATTTGAAAGTGGAGGGGTATTAGCTAAATACAGTGTACCAGTTAGTGAAGTAGAATTGTCTGTATATTCCTAGATTTCAAAAATTAAGTGTCAAATAATGTGTACCCTACAAATAAAATTGGGGTATATGAATGTCCAAAGACTAGGATCCTTCAACAGCTTCAGTACAATGTCTAAAGCAAGATTGAGGAATGTCAGATCCCATCCAATTAAAAAAAAAAAAAGAAAAAGAATGAACCATCACAAGTCCTGATCTCATTAGAAATCATGAAATATGAGAATGAAAGAAAGATATACATATGAATCAAAACAAACTTAATCATGTATATCTAGAGGTGAGAGGTCCCTCAAATTGTATCTTTTTGAAGATTAATAAATCCGGGTGACCATCAAAGGTTATGGTGGATTAGTAAGTACTCATCCATCTTTGATTAGAGGTCTCGGGTTCGAATTATGGGTGTGTATTCGTTTTTAATACGGAGCACTTTATCCTTAAAGTAGAATTTTTCCTCACGAATCTAGATTAGTCGGTTCCAAAAATAGATACTGGATATACCGTACCGTGGAAAACCACAAAAAAAAACCTAGTGGCCCTTTAGTCTAATTATGGGATGGTATTCAAGAAAATTCAATCATTCTAGATTGGGGTGAGAGATGAAATAATTGGAAGTAGACAGCTTAACTGATTGATTCATTTAGCCAAATTCCATTCAATAATGCTTCAAATAGTGAAGTATTATGACTGTTGATTATGTCATATTCTTTTGTAGTAACTTCAAAAAAACTCTAGCTGGGTACGAGATGCACATCATGCAGTAAGGCCCATCTCGTTTTGGATCACAAAAAAAGAAATTAAAAAGAAAAAGAATAAAAGATATGCAAAAGCAAAAGAAGAAGAAAAGGAAAAGGAGAGGTGAACATTGAGCACAAGTGTTTGAACGAATTGTAATCCCTTGAGAAGCCTAAAGCATTAAGAAACAAAAAATTATTTGGTAGACCTTAATTATTTGTCAGAATCTAATGGACCTTAAAAAGAATTTGGGTCGAAGACTCTAATTTATGACTAGGGTTGGCAATGGGGCAGGACGCAGGAGGAGTGACTCTTCACACGGTTGCAGTGGGGCAATGAGATCGAAATATGGCAGAAGTAAGTGAGAGAAAAAATTAATGAAAAATATTTAATTAGTTTAATTAGTTATAGAAGAAGATTGAGCTAATTAACAAGGCAAATGGGGATAGATTGTAAACATAGAGATTGTAATCACAAAGTGGAAGCATGTCCTACTAGAAATTTCTTTATTCTTAAAATTTGAACTCAAGACTTCTGGTTAAGATAGGAATCTCGTTCATCTCACCACAATCCGACTATAAAGTTTCCGATGCATTCATTCTGTATATACAGAAGATATTCTTAATGATAAAATTAATATAAAATCGCACATTGAGAGTCATACATGCCTATATAAGGAATTGTTTGGTGTTTCTAAAGTATAAAATGTGATCAGACTTGCTTTATTTGGTCTCAGAAGAAATAGTCGGTCATTATTTTCCTACATTCCCCAACCTGGCCCTGCAAAAAGTATACTCTAATCAAACATTATTTCCGGAGTATATAGTGGAGAATATCTCCGTGGATTATGAGTAAGAAAACTATTAGGCGGTTTAAAATCGAACCATAATCGTAGACCGAATTGCAAAATTGACTTATTGGCTTATAGGTATCGGGTTATCGAGATAATGGTTGGTGAACGGATTGAAATTTTATAATAAACTGCTTAACAATTTGGGGACAGATTACTCAATTTCCTTATCGGATAAACCGTTAATCGGTTAATAAATATTTGCAGTTATAACTTTTACCTCTTTCTTCCTCCTCATAACCCGTCATCATTTTCTTCTCGCTTCTATCTACCGCTCGTGACTTTTGTTATTTCTTTCTTCATTCTTTCTTCTCTAAGTTAACAAATTATAAATATTTTACTACTGCTTCCTTTTTATTGAGGATATGCGATGAATCTTATTTTTCTTTTTAGATATAATTGAGAATTTAGAGTATTTTTGTAATGACCCGACCAATCGTTTTGAGCTCTATCGTATCGTTCGGCGGTTTGAAGCCTTGAGTAGTTTCACTTCATGCATTTTGACTTGTACGCATAGTCAGATTTGAATTTCGGAAAGTTCGACGTTGATTTGGAAGGAAACGTCTCAATTCGAAAGTTTTAAGTTGAAAGAGTTGACCAAGGTTTGAACTTTGTGTAAACAACCTCGGAATCGGGATTTAAAGGTTCCGATAGGTTCGTGTGATGATTTTGGACTTGGGCATATGCTCGGGTTAAGTATCGGATGGTCCGGGAGCATTTCGGCGGCTTATTGTGGAAAGCTGGCATTTAAAGGTTTGGAGTTTTCCTAAGTTTGACCATGGTTTGGCTTTAAGGCTATCAGGCTCAGATTTTTGTTTCTGGACTTCGAATAGGTCCGTTTCGTCATGTCTTATTTGAAAAATTTGGTATCATTTGGAGTTAATTTGATGTGGTTCGGACACTTGGTTGCAATTCTAGAAATTCTTGAAGTTCATTGTGATTTTCATGCATTTTGGCATCCGATTCGTGATTCTAGAATTATCGCATTTGCGAACAATTTCATCGCATTTGCGACACAAACTGTCACTTTTTCGATAACTCTAAGCTCGCTTTTGCGAGACTTGTGTCGCATTTACGACTTAGGCAGAGTTGGCCAGGCTTCGCTTTTGCGACGCCATTGTCGCATTTGCGAACCTCATGTCGCAAATGTGACATCTAAGGATGGTATTAAGACTTTTATTTCGGGACCTAGTCCATTTCTCTCACATTTTCACTTGGTTGGGCGATTTTTGGAGCTCTTGACGAGGAGATTTTCATCATCTATTGCAAGGTAAGCAATTACCACATATTGTAAGTTAATTACGCGGATTCTATAAGGATTTAACATGGAAATTTGTGGATATTGTGAGATTTTTGAAGAAAAACCTAAAAATTGTATTTTTGGATTTTGACCACAAAATTAGACATGGAATTTGGAATAAATTATATATTTGGGTTCGTGGCGTGATGGGTAAAGTTTATCTTCAAAAATATTCAGAATCCGGGCACGTGGGCCCGAGGTTTGACTTTGTTGACTTTTCGAGCGGAGTTGGAAAACATTATAAATTGTTAAGTTGTGAGTATTGAAGTATATTTTGATTGGTTTGCACGTTGTTTGGATAGTTTCGGATCGATTGGCATCGATTTGAGGTGTTAGAAAGGCGTTGGAGCCGGTTATCGGATTTCGGAGCGAAGTAAGTCTCCTAACTAACCTTGTGAGGGGGAATTTACCTCGTACGTGTTATACTTATCACATGCTACATATTATGGGAGCTACGCACGTATGAGGTGATGAGTGTCCGTGTGTGTAACGATCCGGCCGATCGTTTTGAGTATTTGCACTTTGCTCGATAGCTTGAGGGCACGAGTATCTCCGTATGATGTATTATGACTTGTGTGAATCGTCGGTTTTGGTTTTCAGGTTATTCAGGATCGACTTGGAGGATTGAACGTCATGATTGAAGCTTTAAGTTGGAAGACTTGACCAAGTTTGACCCTTTAGCAATTGACCTCAGATTGAAGTTTTGATGGTTTTGTTAGGTCTATATGGTGATTTTGGACTTGGGCGTATGCCCAGATTTGCAATTGGATATTTCTAGAAGGATTCAGCAAAAACTAGCGAAAGTTGGAAATTTGAAGGTTTGGAAAGTTCATAAGTTTGACCGGAAGTTGACTTTGAGGATATCTGATTGTGGTTCCGGGAATTGAAATAGCTTCGATATATCATTTTGGACTTGTGTGCAAAATTTGAGTTCATTCCGGGTTGATTTAATGTATTTCGGCGCGAGTTTTGGAGGTTGAAAGTTCAAAGTTCATTCAAGTTCGAATTGAGGTGTGATTCGTCGTTTCGATGTTGTTATGTATGATTTGAGGCCTCGAGTAGGTCCGTGTTATGTTATGGGACTTTTTGGCATATTTGGTCGGGGTCCCGAGTGGCCCGGGTAAGTTTCGGACGAGGTTCAGATCATTTTCGTTTCATGTTGCATTGTTGAAGGTATGGTGGTTCTGGTGCTTCCGCATCTGCAGAAGAATGGACGCAGATGCGCGTCCGCAGATGTGGACAATTGGCTGCAGAAGCGCAAACAGTCTTGGATGGAGATCATCGCAGATGCGGAGGAAGAGGTGCCTGCATGTGCGCAACAGCGAAATCCTTGGGCGCAGATGCGCATTCAGTGGTCGCACCTGCGATTGCGCAGGAGCAGATGTTTTCCGCAGGTGCGAAGAGTCGTTTGTCCAGCTTATTCCGCAGAAGCGGGCTTCACGTCGCAGAAGCGACGCTGCAGAAGCGGGTCATTGTTCGCAAAAGCGAAGAGGACTGGGCGGAAGCTTTAATTTTGAGGAATTGGTCATTTTAGCATATTTGGAGCTATGGAGCTCAGATTGAAGCGATTTTTGAGGCGATTTTCACCACGTGGAATGGGGTAAGTGTTCTCTACTCGGTTTTGATTATATTTCATGAATCTATCCTCGTTTTTGGCATGTGGTTGATGATT